CCCCCCCCTCGCCCCCCCTTGGCTACGCCACTGATTTTAATAGGTTTTCTGCTCCTAACTTATGTTGTACAACAACAACAACAAATTTTATTTACCTAGATATAAAGAGTTGCAGAAAATTTTAAAAAGTTTGATATTTAAAAGTGTGCAGTACTGTCTTCCTAAAATAACTAAAAAGCTAAAAAAGTTAGGAAACTTTAGCTACATGGCTGTTCTAATACTGGAAATAATTGCATATGCTTTGTGTGTTTCCCAAATGAGTTTCATGTGTGTATCAGAATGTCTCGTCGAGTTCAGGGGGCTTTATGTTGTTTATCAGAATCGATAATGAAGTTTTTACTGAAGGATTCCCTGTGAACAGTACTTAATGGCCATGTACATATTGAGAATAATGCCTTAGTTTAACATTGTTCACTATTCTGCATGTATGGGTTTAGTATTCCCAAAGTTTAATGCAATAAGGTACAGTATTTAATGAAATAGAGGCAGTTCTTAAGCTAAAGTCTTACTGGATTGATTGTTGCTTCAGTCAGTTTTAGTCATATTAATAGGTTTTCTGCTGCTAACTTCTGTTGTACTTTAGCTACATGGCTGTTCTAATACTGAAAATAATTGCATATGCTTTGTGCGTTTCCCAAATGAGTTTCATGTGTGTATCACAATGTCTCGTCAAGTTCGGGAGGCTCAATAATGAAGTTTTTACTGACGGATTCCCTGTGAAAACAGGAGTTAATGGCCACATATTGAGAATAATGCCTTAGTTTAACATTGTTCACAATTCTGCATGTATGGGTTTAGTATTCCCAAAGTTTAATGCAATAAGATAGAGTATTTAATGAAATAGAGGCAGTTCTTAAGCTAAAGAATTATTGGATTGTTGGTCAGTCATTTTTAGTCATTTTAATAGGTTTTCTTCTCCTAACTTTTGTTGTACAACAACAACAACAAATTTTCTTTACCTACATATAAAGAGTTGCAGAAAATTTTAACAAGTTTGATATTTAAAAGTGTGCAGTACTGGCTTCCTAAAATAACTAAAAAGCTAAAAAAGTTAGGAAACTTTAGCTACATGGCTGTTCTAATACTAGAAATAATTGCATATGCTTTGTGTGTTTCCCAAATGAGTTTCATGTGTGTATCAGAATGTCTCGTCGAGTTCAGGGGGCTTTATGTTGTTTATCAGAATCGATAATGAAGTTTTTACTGAAGGATTCCCTGTGAACAGTACTTAATGGCCATGTACATATTGAGAATAATGCCTTAGATTAACATTGTTCACTATTCTGCATGTATGGGTTTAGTATTCCCAAAGTTTAATGCAATAAGGTACAGTATTTAATGAAATAGAGGCAGTTCTTAAGCTAAAGTCTTACTGGATTGATTGTTGCTTCAGTCAGTTTTAGTCATATTAAGAGGAGATTTTTTACAAAATCGCGTATTGGGCGCTCAAAACCAATCAGATGCTAGAATGAGAAATTGATCGAATGAATCGGGTGATAACATGGCGGCCAGTTCATATATTGTGTGAATACTTCACTGCTTGTTTTTACACGATAACAATTGGATTTTCATATAATTTTCTCAAATAACATAAGTATACTATGGAAGCGATGTGCAAAATTCATAAACAAGATGAATTCAACAGGAATCAAAGAATTACAAGCGATGCAATGTTACACAAGAGTTTGGAAGGATTTGACTATCACAGAAGCATGGTAGGTATGCGTTTATTTTTCCTGATTTTTTCATAGTTTACTGCCTCCGATCACAATATATTATGCCATACAACATTCCTTTGGTATTCTAGTTTTAAAAAACTGCATCTTGATGAGAATTAGCGTTGTTAGTCCGAAGTAAATACTGCTTAATTTTACAAGCGAGTCAAAATTTGAATTTCCACCAAATGGAGTCATTACAATCCGTATTTTGGTCATATCTTTGAAATTAAGTGTTCGTATTCGACTGTATAACATGTACTGTTTACATTAGGTGTATTTAGTGCAAATAATTGCACCGTGTCCAAAATCTAAACACTAAATTGACTTAAAAGGTTTTCTTGTTTCTGCCTAATTAAGTTTAAATCATACACATAAGTTATTTTAGTTTAGTGCCAAACTGATGTCCAACACTTGTAAATTACCTTAGAACTGTTTCCGATCAATCTAAGATATATTCCGACATTTGCCCTAGGTATGCTAGTTTACAAAAATCATAATTTGATTAAGTTTGAGGTGGTAGGTTGAAGGTCGTTTTTCAACATTTTTAAAATCAACCAGAATTACAGTATTCAACAACATGTATTTACTGAATAGCCCAGTATTGCTATCTGTTCATTGAATATAAAGTGAAATCTTATACTGTAAGCTGTGTAAACATAGCTCTCAGTCCATTTTATATTTCCATGGTGATTATTTGA